CTCTGATGCCTGATGTACAACAAGTTCCTCTTCTATAAAGCTCAGAGAAGTCAGGCATCCCCAATCTGTGCTGTCCAGGGGGTACTGGGAAGGACCCTGGTATTCAGTCCTCGAGCTCCTCAAGATCCACGGGCCCACTGAACCCAGGTCAGCAGCTAATTCCTGAATTAGTAGCTTCTCTTACAATGCTGCATCTCCCTTCTGATAATTTCTGGATGTGCTATCCAATTTATAACTTCTGAGCCATGCTGTGGACTCACAGCCATGCACGACGAACTCTCCTTATGACTGACCAATAGCAGTACAAGTCTTTGCATTTTTTTTATAAGCTTAATTTTAACTGCACCACTAAATACAAGGCCTTACTTCTTTCTCACTACATATAAGGCCTCACTAATCTTTGACTTTAATTAAGCTCTTACCAGCAACATACAGCTCGCAATACCTGAATAAATGACAAGAAACACCTGGTCTAATCCTCACAGAGTGTTCAACAAGCACCTTTAACATACAGACATCATTTTCAGCCATCACAGCAGGTGGTCAGGGAGTTGCAGGTGGTGGCAGCTGGTACAGTGGTGGTCTCCTCACAGAAGCAGTCTACCAATCCCCTCAAAGCTTCTGCTCTTGGAGAGGGCAGGTAAGCAGTAGGAGGGGATGATTACTCCCTCTGCATTCTCAAGCAACACATTTTCAGCAGTTCAGCAGCTCCTTGTCTGAAGTCTTTGGGATTTTTTGACTAACAGTTAAGCTAGAGACAGATCAATAGCACCTCTTATCTTGTCTGAGTCCCAAAAGACAGAGGGGCATACTGGGTAATGAGGTACACCATTAGGAATTCCCTAACATTCCAGGGAAGAGTCAAATGTACTGGTGGCCTGCTGTAGCTTGCCTGCCTTCTCCAAGAGTCAAAGTCATCAGGGATGTCATCCTTTTGGAGCAATAGTCAAGAAAAAGCTGAAGTGCTATGTCATAGAATCGTAGAGAATTAGCGTACAAGGGGACATCCACAGGTCATCTAGTCCAACCACTGCCTGAGGCAGAATCTCCCCTATCCAAACTAGTCTAGAGAAATCCATAATCTAACCCAGGGGCAGTCAAAATACAGCCCATGGGCTGGACCCAGTTTCATCCAGCCCACAGATTCCCACTATCCCTTGGAAGCCCATTCACCAGGTTCACAGTTAGAGTGGCCAAGGTCTGGAACGGGCTCCCAAGAGAGGTGGTGCTCTCCCCTACCCTGGGAGTCTTCAAGAGGAGGTTAGATAGGCATCTGGTGGGGGTCATCTGAACCCAGCCCTCTTTCCTGCCAAGGCAGGGGTTCAGACTTGATGATCTGTTGAGGTCCCGTCTGACCCTAGCATCTATGAATCTATCCATCTAACTGTACCTCACCCAGCCCTTACAGACACAAGGATGTGAGCAAGGTGCCCATATATACACACATACCTTTCCCCCCACCCCGCAAAAACCCTATTGCATTTCACTCCCAGCTCATGTGTGGAAGGGTATGGCTCAGCCAGCACACAGTTTCTGGCTGGGGCTGGTGCTGGCCCCGGAGTAGGGGACCTGATTGACTTCCCCAGCATCCCGTGCAGGTAAAGTGGGGCCATGTTAAAAGCTTGCTGAAGTCCAGTTACACTATATCCACAGCATTCCCTTCATCCACCCAAGTAGTTACTTTCCTTGCTGCTTCTGATCAGCCTTTTGGTTGACTATAGGTGCTGTAGGACTTAAGCTCCCTATGGGATGATGTCTTCACTTCTCCTTCAATTGGCCTCCCAGCCCCACTTTCTCCCTCTCCCTCCTCCTCCCTCTCCCCTTCCCCTTCTCTCTCCCTCTCTCCCTCTAGCTACATCTTCATACTAAGTTGTCCATTCTTTCTTTCTTTCTTTCTTTCTTTCTTTCTTTCTTTCTTTCTTAATTTAGCTACAGATTAGCTACTTTCAGGTCCAGAGGGAACAGAATTAACCTCAGATAGGTGTACCTGTTAATTCAGGATATTCCACTTTTCAGAGAACTGGGTATAAACATTTTAAACTCCCTATTTCTTCCTTACAAAATTTGAATTGTGTTCATCTCAACAATCTGGATTTCCAACACACACATGCATACCCTTATTAATGTTATTTAATACTTAACTAATTCGCAGGAATGGCAGACAATCTTTTCTTGCAGTGCTGATTTTCTAGCAGGGGGTTGCTGGGAGGTGTCCTGGGTATGGATGCCAAGCCCCACCCTCTCCCTGCAGCAGCCAGCTCCACATAGCATGCAGCTGCTCCAGGGGACTGATGAAGGCTACATTCCTAGCTCCTCCCACTTTCTGATCAGCCCGCCCAGTGCCACACAGAGCTGCTCCAGGGAATAGCCAGGGGATGGACTCCTAGGCCCTGATCACCCTCCAGAGCCACCAGCTTGATGCTGGGAGCTGGAACTGATAGCACAGAACTCCCCAGTCCTGGTGCAGACTGGCTCCCAGCTCCTGGGGTGAACCAGGGATCTGTGCAGCACCAGGACCAGGGACAAAAACCTCCCTTATCCCCTGCATCCTTGCTGGCTAGAGTAACCAGAGCAAACTTGCTCCTTGTCAGGGTCTCCACATATGTTACTGCACAATATCTACTGCGCAGTTAGTTTACTGCCTTTATTTAAAGTAGTAACACGGTAGTCTAATTTACTGTGCAATAAATATGTAGACAGTCATGCTTTACTGAGCAGTAGACTAATCTACTATGCAGTAAAACTTCTTGTGCAGATACACCCCCAGGGTCTTAAACTGTAAACTGGGGAATTTAAGGTGGTTATTAGAAAAAAAAATCACACTATGAGGACAGTTGAGCATTGGAAGAGACAATGTGGACAGGCTGTGGATGCTTCATCCGCAGAAATTATTAAAAATGCGATATACAAACACTTGTCTGGAATGGTTTAGACAGGGATGTTTAGGAGGGATGGCTTCGGCAGGGGTCTGGATTGGGTGACTTCCTAAGGTCCCTCCAGTCCTACTTTGCTATGATTCTATGATTGTACCTGCCTAATGTAATTCCAGTCCCACAGTGCCATGAGCTATACCAAGTGACCAGAAAGCAAAGAGCCCCAATGCTTGCAGCACTGGGAGTGCCAGAAGCCAGCAGTAGGGGCTGGGAGGGGAGCAACAGCAGCCTGGGTGTAGAGAAACCATCAGAAGCAGGGGGAAAGGGGATAGTGTTTCATTGTGGGGTGCCTGGAGGATAAACCTACTGTCTAGATGTAAGACAGAATGAAATATCAGGGTACACAATAGTATCTGCACCCTCCAGAACATTTTTGTCCCATGTGTATCTTTGTACACTAGACTTTTGAAATATTTCAACTGCACTTTTAGGCCATTTGACATTTTTTAATATTATACCTGTCAACAGCATGGTTACTTTTGGGCACTTTGAGATTATTAATTTAGATTTATAACAATGGCACGTGGGACATAATGTGCACCAATCACCAGGAACATAAGAACACAGGGCTGAGAGGGACTGCTTGGGCCACTGAGACCAGGCCCTTTGCACTGACGGGCACAATTGTCCACCAAATAACTATTCAGCCCATTCTCTCATACCATCAGCACAGGACCAAAAAACGAAAAGGAAACTACTGCATACCACAAACAGGAGAGAGAATGAAAGATCTGAATACTACCAGGGTCATATCTGTTAAGTGAAATATGGTACTTGACTGTAAAACAAGGGCCATGCCCAGTGCTAAAGAGGAGGACAAGGGGAAGATTAAAAAGACCCTATTCTTAACCTAACCTGGGAGAAAATTTCATCTTGATTCCAAATGAAAAGATTGATTTGACATGAAAGTTTCAGGAAGAATTTGGGAGCATTAGTTGCCCTGCTCAGTCCCTCATCTCTGTTTGCAGGCAAAGTCTGATAGTTCAGAGGAAGGCAACTAAAAAAAAAAAGAGAGAGAAGAAAGAAAGAAAAAGAGGTAAATACCGTATTCAGTTGAGAAAAAAAAAAATCATTTTTATTGTTGCTGGTGAACAGAACACCCCTGACCCCTGGGATTTCCAGATAGGACTCACATTCAGATACTTGACATGAAGGTTAAAGTGACACCCAGTGAATTATGAGTTGCACATTCTAATTTAATATGCTCCCCCTAAGAAAACAAGCCTCCTATTCTGGGGTTGTGGCTTCAGTATCAAAACCTGTTTTGGATGGATCTTAAACTTCCATCTAATTTTTCTTTACTCCTTTAAAATCAGTGGATATTTCTTTTTTTTTTCCATGCAAGCAATTACTATAAATATATAAACCAAACAACCCTCTCTGTTTGAACAGCTCATCATGCAGACTCCAAAACTGGGGAGACAGAGAAGTGAGAGAATAACTTCTTGTATTTTTATGTCTCTCTTTTCTCAGTGCCTTGATTCCTAGCTAAAAAGAATTCAAAATACATAAGAGAGAAATGTATACAATACTCACTGTTGGTTAGCTGAAGAACAAGTAGGACAAGAAACCAAAGCAGCTGAGTGGAGAGGTGCCCCTTCACTGGCATCATGCCCCCCATCCCTGCTGGCACTGCCCTGCATGCACCTCACTCTGCCAGGGCTTCTCTGTGTCTGACAAAGAATACAAAGCAGGGGGAGGAAATATATAGATTCACATGCTGGCATCTCTGCAGGGAGGAGCCAATAGAAACAACCTTCACCTTTTTAGACATTATCAGGGGGTTTATCTCCAATGTTTCATGGCTAAAACCTCCAATAAAATAGTAAAACACTGCCTGTGACCATATATGAGAGACAGCTCCGCTTCTGATGTCACATTCGCTACAGTCCCGGATCATCATGCAGCCTCTCTTTCTGGTTTGGGGCAGGAACATTGCATTTACAGTCATGCTTTTTCTAAACATCTCTAGAGAATATCAAATATTTAGGCAAAGAAAGGTGGAAATCATACATCCAAATTAGTTTTATCTATGTCAAAAAATAAACCCTTCATAATACTGAGTTAAAGATTAAGTTTAGAAAACTCCAACTTCTGAAAATCAGGAAATGAAATTTTAAAGTGTTTCACATTTTAAAACTGAAAATCAGGAAATATTGGTAGGTATCAGAACATACCTAATGGATCATCAAGAGCAGTTTCCACCAACTCTGAATTAGTGTATTAAAATGCAGGAGCAATTCTCTAAATCTGTGTGGGGTATCTGCACTTACCTGGAAGAGAAGTGGAGGCTGAGAGTTTAATGCTGCATAAGGGAAAGCAGAGTCTTATATGTGCTTCAGGATGAAAGGTTTATAAAAGGTAGTAAATGGCATTATAAAATGTAGTAGCTATGGTGTTCCTTCTGTGGAGCAGGTTAAGTGTTGGATCTTTGTATGGTTGGAAGCAGGTCCTATCCAGTGCAGGTCAAAGGCAGGGGGAGAATATACATCCTTTGGATTTACTTGGCTACCAGTCAAAAAAGAGAAACTTAATGCTGTATTGGCATATATCTAGACATTTTATATCCTAATTTTCACAAGTTTGGTTTGCTTTTTTTCTGAACACAGCATTCGGTATGGACATCAAATACCACCAGACAAATTAGGGGCCATGTAGGCAGATGCATATATCACACAGATCTGCAGCTCTGTTCTATAGCAGATCCTATCCTTAATAGCATCAGGATACAATGTTATTCCTAGGGGCTTCTTCCCTCTCCTAGATATTTAATAATAGTGGATTAAGATGGTGCAATGACATGTTTGCGATGAGGACAGGTGACAGGGCTGGTAAGAAAAGCCACCTCATTTTTCCATGTTTCACACTCCTGACTGGTCTATTACTTAGAAAGCGCAATAGTATTAAGTAGGTTGATGAACACCTTCTGGGACTATGTTTTCCTATCCCTCCAATCTTTTTCTCCCACAGTCCCCCAAAGAATATATCCCCCTGAGACACTGTTTGCAGGTCACCTTCTCCTTGCTTTCTCACTAAACAATTATCACCGTAGGAGCCACTGAATTCTAAATGTTTCTCTATGTTCTCAGAAATGCTGTATACCTACTTGACAGGAAATGGCTTTCTTGCATGTTACACACTTCCTTGGCCATGTAGCTCAAGCTTATATCAAACCACTTTCTCTATTACAAAACAGCCCCTACCTTTGTCTCCTTCATCTCAGCCTTCCTCAGCTTTGCATCTGCCTGGTCAAGTCAAGTCTCTCTATATTATCAACCTTCACCCCTATCCCTGACTAAATTCTCTTTCTGCCAAAACTTACAAGGATGATGTCTACCATAAGCTTGTAGTTCCTGGTTTTCAGAGATTTAACTTAGCTTACTAGCTGGGCCCAAATTTAAATTATAGCCCATATAAGCAGGTATAAGGAGCAGAAAGGAAGGTTAAACCACACTAAGCAAGCATGGGCTCCTCACCTCCAGGAACATACACACGGGTCATGGAGGAACCCAGACATGCCCAGAAGGGCAGAGATCCTGGGATCCTTAGCATTAAGTTCATATCCATCTGTAGGGTTTCTCTCTCACTGTGTTCATTATTTCTTCCCTGGAGGGACAGGGGCAATAAGCTGTGGTTAGAGTTGCTTGATTGTCACATTTTGGGGCCCGAACAAAGCCAAGGTTGGAATCCCTAAATTAAACTGAAAAAAAAAGTCAGTCTTAAGGAATGATTTTTTTTTCCCCAGAAGCTGAGTCTAAGGAAGCTCTGGATGAATTTGGGATGCTATTCTGACCTAGCTCTCTACATGGCACATCAAAGATTAAGAAGCCAAATATGTTTGTGGATATAAGACCACTTAAAAACGTAGAATGAGTATACCCCATAGACAGCCTGGTGTTTAGAGCATATCAGAGAGCTTTAGATAAATGTGAATAAAACTTAATCAACGGCCCTGATGAAATGCACGTCAGGGAAGTCATGCATGACAGCCAAGGCTCCAGAGGCCTGGAAACAAGTCTAGCATAGCATTGCAGCAGATTATGATACTGTTTGTAAAACTTCTGAGTTAAATGTGTTAATCTTATACTGAGGTTAGATCTCTCCATTTCCCTGACCAGCCAGCATGGGACAAGTGGAGAGGCAGGGTGCCAGGGAGAAGGTGCTGGAGGGTGGAACCTGCACACTGCCACTGCTGTCCACTGCCACTGCCATCCCCTGAGCATGGGACAGGGGACTGCTGTCCTCTGAGCAACAGACACAGCTCATTGCTAGAGCAGGGCAGGAGCATCCTTGGGGCTCCTCCTGCACCTGGATCAACCCAGAATAGTAGTGGGAGTCATGGAAGGGGGGAACGTCCAAACCACTGGGTCCCCTCTGGATCTGCCCCTGTCTCTGATTTAACCTGGGCATTGTGGCTCAAAGACTTTCTGCTGCAGTGCTGTGGGCTAGTATATGTTTTTATTTAAGGGTGAGATTATACTGAAACAGGGTGATAGTCAACCCTGTTTCTTGGTTCCTTTCCCTCCTCTTTGCATGTTTCCAGACAGAGCACCAGTGGGCGGCATCCTCCAGCTCCTTTAGATGCCTTTGAAGACCATTCGGTGCGGCCCAGGGGGCTCTGCTCAGAGTCTCCCTCTGGAGTACTTAATTTCACATTTTGACCCCCATGTCACTCCGTTCTTGTTTTTTCCCCTTACTTCCCCTCCACCACCACCACCACCAAAAAAAATGTATTAGTTGCATCTTTCAAACTTTGGCCCCACACAGTCAGGGCTATTAGGTAACTGGGTGGGCCTTAAGGCCCATGTCCACTGGAAGATACAAATAGACAGGAGCTTCTTCGGAGAAGTTGCCCAGCCCCTTCCCTGCCTCAGTCTCCTGCTGCTGCTGCTATTAGCTGCTTCTGCTGTTGCTTGTTCTCAGGAGCTTTTGGGGGGAAGTTAGCTGTGCCCCTTCCTGCCTTGGGCTGTTTCTGCTGCTGTTGCCACCCTCCTGTGCTGCCCATGGGCTCCTCCCCCACCATCACTGCCAGCACCTAAGGTGCCTTCCCTGTCTCAGCTGCCTCTGCAGGCCACCCTCTGCCTTCACCTTCACTTTCACCTTTACCTGAACCATGCTTTGAGTGGCTGACCTGGACAGCTGCTACCACTGCTGCTGCTGGTGACCACCTGTACCGGTGCTGCCCTCTCTCAGGAGAGGGGTGGATTTCCTGCTGCACCACATCACACTGCCCTACACTGTACCTGCACTGGATTACTTCCTTAATTGACTGCTCCTGCACTCCCTCACACCTGCATCACCACGTCTGATCCTGCGCTTTGCTTCCCTGCCTGCTGCCCGGCTGCTAAATGCCTGGCTGGAGGCCTGAGGGGCTCCTGGACTGAGTTTCCACACACAATGACCCTCCACCACTCCAGTCATCTTTTTATACCTTCCTCAGCTACCTCCACACTGTATTTTGCCCTTGTGGGGTAAGTTCTGTGGTCCACTCACCCTGTGGCTGAGTAAGCCAGATTGAGTCTCCCCGCCCTTGTGGGTGTCCCCCCCACCTTCCCCAGGCATAGCTCGCCTGGTTTCCCATGGGGCTGTAGACCAGTGAGCTTCAGCCTGCTTTCCCCTGCCCTCCACTTTCCCCACAGCCCCAGCCTGCCCCATTAGGATTCATTAGCCCCAATGTATTTTTTGGATTTTGTTTCTTTATTAGTTTCTCTCTCCCTTATGTTCGGCAATGCCATGGCAGGAGCCTTCTGGGTGGATGACAGATGCCCCCACAGCATTTCTTGCATCCCTCACTATGGCTCAGTTTCAAACCAGGCTCCCAAGAGGCTGCATGTCCCTACAATGCCAAGCCAGGAGGCAGAGGCTAACTGACCCCCTCTGGAGGTAGACATGCCTATATTTGTTACCTTGTCTGTGATGCATTTTCATTCTCACTCTATTATCATCCCCTTGTACTGACCCAATACATCAGGTTGAGAGAAATATCATTTCTGGAACAAGCTTTCAAAATGTTTTAATACGAAAATGCATTAATTTTAGGATGAAGAATTTTTTAGGAATACAAAAGCAGGAACTATTCATACAGCCTAATCAATGATAACTTAAAAATTGTCACTTAAACTAATACACTTGCAACTACATCAGCCTCTAGAAGAAGCTGGTCAGGCCACCAGCTATGCAGGGACCGTTTCTAGTGACTCTTTGGCCCAGTCAGCATTTCTGAGAGGTATCATCTAATCATACAGCACTTATGTCCTCACAAGGCATTTGTGCTAAACACAGACATTATTATATCAATGTTCCAGCAAAACCATCTTCAACATCATCATATTCTATGTCCCCAGGAGGCAGGGAAGGGTCTTTTCTGTCAGCTCCACTTCTTCGGGACTGCAGACTCCAACCTGAAAATATCAAGGGAAGCACATGATAGTGACTTAGTTCTTTACCCTCCCTTGCCATTCAGGTGAGCCACCCCAACCACCTACACCTCAGTGATTTCAAGGTCACCATGCAATACAGGCATATCCATTACTTCCCATTGCATAACTTCAGGAATGTTGAGCAAGGCCTCAAACTACTGTGGGAGTAACTTATATTTTTGAGCTTTAAAATAAATAGAATATTTTCATCCCTTTGTTATTTCTGAAACTTAGATTACGCATGCTTCATTTTTTAAGCCTTTTAAGTTTGATAACTGCAAAACTTGCTATACATTTTTAAAAGCAAAACAGAACCTTTTACATAATGATGTGACTCCACTTTCCATGGGGATTCCAGGGGCTTTCTCTTTATTCTGCCAAGGTGCAAGAACTTCTTCAGCATGATGAACTTCTTAGACATCATCATAGTCATGGCTTATTGAATCTCCAGACATGACAGAAGAATTTTTTTAAACACTAAACACTGCATGACTAGAAATTATGTAGTGAGATACACTAACTTTACTCACCTGTCTGCGAATCCCTTGTCCCATCACTTTCCTCTGGGGCTTCATTGACTTCCTCATCATTCTGGTGAAAAGCAGAACTGTGTTCTGCATCAGAAATTTCGTCAGCATCATCATAACCATCACTGGTGGCATCTCTGGGCAGTACAGAGGCCTCTGAAATACAGATGGGAATTAATAGTGATGAGGACAGACCTGACACTGAATAGAGAAATTAAGTAAAGGTCAGGGACAAAAGGCTGAGATGCCCATAAGCAACCCTGATCGGCTCTCTCCATCAATTCCATTAATTCAGCCTGGGAAGCCTGCTAGCAAATGGTCTGCTTAGACCTGCATAAATTAAGTCCACTACATTAGCCTTATTCAAGAACCCCATTATCTTTTCATCAGAGGATATCAGTATTACTGAACTGTAAGTTGTGATAAACCCATGTTCATCTTGTCCCATTTTATCTTCCTTGCATATCTTTAATTCTTCTTTCCATCAGTTTCTGAACAAAAATCTTATTTTCCATAGAGTTCTTGAGATGAGACAGCAGCTATATTTCAAGTAATAATAAGTTGTCAAACATTCCCAAACAGCATTTTTAAGCAACTTGACTCTAAGCAATCAAATAACAAAATATAATGCAGAAATAAAATGATATAGGAAGGTAGAGGATTTTGCCCCACACAGATTTTCTCCCACTCTGCAAGGTATGTAGTGCAGGGAGCTACGCAACTTGCTTGCCATTTTCCTAGGATCCCTGATTTGCTGGACATGTGATTTCCCAGGTATCCCAAGTCTCTGGAGAGCTGACCCCTGTGGGAGTTTGACAGCCTGGACATTCAGCCACCTCAGGAGTCCCAATGACTCTGGGAGCCAGGAGCCTCTAATCCATAGAAGCCCTTTCTCCAGAGCAACCCAGGAAGAGCCAGAGAGCTGTAGTTTCATTTCAGAGTTCCCAACAGAAAATGAACTTATCCAGGAAAAATCCAGATTTGTGGAAACTGCAAAGTATTCCAGCTGGCAAAGAGCTGCTGCTTGGACAATGTGCCTCTCTCCTGACTTGGAGCACACCATGTCTTTTCTGTTTCTTAGGGTGTCAAATTCTTATGGAGACACAAAGGCCAAGCAAACAGGAATTCATACCCCTTGTCACACCACAAATGCCCAAACTTTGTGGCTGTAATGAATACGGAAAGGTTTTCTGCCATTTTATTCAGTGGGCATCTGATTGTTTTATGCACAAGAGCACAGACAACCCACAACGGCCCATGCTCTTCAGCTGCCCCAGGCTAGCACCTTGGGACTTAAGAGGCTGAAACCTTCACAGCCTGGGAATTATCTTGCAGTATCAGTTCCCTCAAGGCCCCAGAGCACCTGCCTAGCTTTCTTCTCTTACAGGGTAGTCTCTGATGCACTCCTGTGTAAATGGGGAACCTCAGCTCCCTCCTTTACATGGATGTGCTCCGGGGTATCTCTGAGAGAAGCTCTGTAATCAGGGAACAAATCACCTGTTCCCCACAGGATCAGGCCCTGATCAATTCAGACCAATGGGCAACATTTATTTCACCCATTGAAGCAAATCAGCTGGTGAGGCACATATTGTCACAGCTGATCCACTTCACTTCATGATGTCTAGGGGTCTTTAAGAAGCGGCTCAGTGCCTACCTGGCTGGGGTCACTTGAGCCCAGTTTCCCTCCTCCCCAGGCAGGGGGTCGGACTTGAAGATCTACAAGGTCCCTTCGACCCTACTTCTATGATTCTACGATTCTATGAAACAACTAAATCAATGCCACACTCTGTAGAAGAAAGGATGATGGTGGAAGAAACATCAAAGGAAAGTGACCACACACAGAAGATCACTGACCACTGTAGGAAAGGAAAGGAGATAGTGAATAATCATTATTCCAATGTTCCCAAGCTATTTTCAAATTATCTGGCCCTAGAAACAGATGCTTTCCTGACCCATGCTTAGTTCCACTCCAAAACTGGAGCATGGGCAATGTGACAGAAATTGTCCCAGGAGCTGGGACTAGCAACATCTTGGTTCATGAGCACGGTGGGGTTTTCACTGACAGAAGTTCACTGGTCTCATCACAGAACCAGTGCTGGCGGCATTCAGCCCAGTGGAAAACTACACTTAATTAGGTCTAGTTCAAGATCTCAGGATGGGAAGTGAATTAGACAGTGACTCTGTGTTAGGAATGCAATGCACAGACCTGAATGAACAAATAATTCCTGCTTCTCCTTCACTGGGCTGTAGTCAATCTCTTCATACACAACCTCAGAGAAGGGCTGCATGACGTTTCTGGTCCCTGAAAGCAAAGAGTAAGCGGTTATTAGAACAGGAGGTGGGAAACATTATTAAACCTTCCAATCAGTGTGGGACTATCAGCAGGTCTGCTTCATTTTCCTGCCAGAAAATAACTCAGTCTAGACAACTAACGTGTCCCCTTTAAAAACTTCTCTTTGGAGATGTTTCCTTATCTGTTCCACCATCACAAAATCTCTCCTCTTAAAATGTCCATGTCCCTTTCATTTCATTACTGCACATTATTGCCCACACAGCAGCTTCAATAATTCCTCTCCCAACACGAAGTTTACATTTCAGGACTAACAACACCTATTTCTCTGCTTTACAATGTTGTTGTAGTTGAAGATGCATTCGTCTGAAGGCTCAGTCCTCCAGTGAATATAATGCATTATCCACTCTTGCTCAAAACTGTTCTTCACTAGGGCTGCCATTCATCCAGTTTTATAGAGGACAGCCCGGTTTTCTGCTACTCTGTCCTCTGTCCTATGGATATGAAACTGTATGCCTTTATGTCAGACTGGTGGAAGTCTGCAGAGGGAAATAGAGGACATAAAGGTATCCAGTTTCATATCAATAGGAAAGAGGACAGAGTAACAGAAAACTGGGCTGCCTTCTATAAAATTGGATGAATGGCCACCCTATTCTTCACACATCAATAGTCTCAAAATTTTCCACAGTATATCCAATTGTTCTAGGTCATTATTGCTCACATTTTTGGCTCCATTGGCCTGATGAATAACATGGCTCCACTTTGCAGGATGGAACATGCCCTGTGCCAGCCCTTTACACCAAGATCTGGCCTGGGGCTCCATGGTGCCAATGCTGGCCAGGTATGGGCAGTGGGGGAGGGAGGAGGGGCAGAGCCCAATCCTGGCGTGGTGGAGATGGTGAAGGGATCTGTGCCATACTGTCCACCTCAATTCAGGCTCCAGGGCTCCATGCTCCCCACCCCCGGGCCCCACACACTGGAATCAGACCCTGCCCCACCCTGCATGCCTGAACTAGCACTCAGAGCCACAGTCAGCAAGTCTACCCACAGGATCGTTTGGGAACCCAACGGGTTGGATGGCAGAGCACTGTGGGCTGGATCTGGCCCACAGTCTAGGGGTTGAACACTCCTTTCCAGGGACTTTTCCACTATTTCCCTCTTCCTTCTCATACTCCACAACTCTCCCTGCAACTTCAAAGGGGTACATCCATATCATTTAAACCCACTGGTACACACCTTTCTGCTGTGCTCTGGCATTTCGCACCAGCCCAGCCACAATGATTAGGACCAAGCAGAGAAGGACGCCCAGAATAATGCAGATGACAATGGGCACCATGTCTCCCCCACTGTCTGTGGCAGGTGGATCTGAAAGGAAACAAACATAGGAGCAGTAAAAACTATTCTTTGAAAGACAAATGAATCTCAAGTGAACATCCCCAGTTTTTATTCTACTGTATGTGGCCAAAAGGTCAAATACTGAGAGACAGGAGAGGAACTCACATGGTAGAGTGAGAGTCAGAAGCCCAGGCACATCAGCGAAAAGCCACTGAGCAGGAAAGCCTATTGATTGGCGTGCCCTGCAGGACACAGCCCAGGTGCCATTGCCTCATAGGTATCAGACTTTCGGTCAAGAAACTTCTTCTCTGAGAGCACATTTACAGCTCATTTCTCAGGAAAATGCAGCACTTATTGGAAGGGGGTTCTTTACCTGTTCCCTTTGGGGAAGTTGTCATTCCTGTTGCATCTGCAAAGGGAAATAGAAGAAGGGTTGGAGTCTGAGAGATGGGAGAGGTAAAGCATTATCTACCAAAGGGATGGTCCCCCTGGGTGGCTGCAGGTGGAACTGGCACATCACATATATGGTCTCCCTTCAAGCGGGCAGGGACAGTGCTGGGCCAACTGAGAAAGAAGTCCCCCAGTGTTTTCGGAGCAGTGGAGACAACAGTAATAAACTTGAACACCGGAGCCTCAGATGAGAGCAGGTGCTCCATGGGCTGAAACCTGGGCACATCTGGACCCTCCAAGGTTACACCCCTCACCATCCGTTCCTGTGGCCAAGGAATGGGGGACAGATATGTGGCCAGGGAGGCGTATCCAACACCCCTGCACAGAAAGCTCCAAGCTTTCTAACTACCCTGTCACTCACTGTTACTGCTGCCAAGGGGCTGCCAGTTCTTACTGCATAATGTATTGAAGAGAGATCCACAGTGCAAATAACTAGATTAGCTTTATTCATTATGCCCAGGTGATAAGGCTGCCTGACAGAGGGATGTGTGCAAGGACAACAGATTTAAATTTTTCCACCATTATGCATCTTATATACAAATACATACACAGTATTAAGCCAATCATTAGCTAACGCAGTTAGTTACATAGGTGCATTTCCTGAATAGGTAATATCTGCCACCAGAATTATTTTTGCTCCATAAATCTCCGTGAACTATAATTTAGTTTGTTATAATTCTGCTTTCCCACCTAATGGCTGGTCCACTCCTACCTGATCCTTCCCAGCCATGTTCGGAGCCTCCTTACGTAGTTCTAACAGCTGCCCATCCTCTGAAGATATAGACCACCATCAAGAAAGCAATCTCAGCCTGGAAATTGCTGTCACCTTTCTACCACTATCCAAATTTCCATAGCCGCAAAATGTGAAAGCAAACACATGTCCATATTCTCTGTCACACCACAAATACTCAGGTTTGTGGCACAACTGCAAGTAGTAATAGATCAGGTGGTTTTATAACAGCCCTGGTATGTTTGCTTATGGCAGAAGTGCTCAGGCAGCATAAACCTGCCCAGGCACTCCTTTCTCCCTGACGCAGGTGCTCCTCAGGATGGAGGGGGCTGATCCTTCACACCCCAGGAATTCCCAGGCAGGATTGGCCCCTCAAGCCTTAGAAACCCCTGCCTTGCTTTCCCAGCTTACCCAGATGCATCACTCCATGGATGCATCACTCTGCAGGGGATTTCCCCACATGCCCTGCAAGCATGGAGTCCTGCAGGGAGGAGATTCCTGAGGGGGTGCACCTTCTACATTGTCAGCGCTCCCATTCCTGACAGCAGTGTGATGCACAGGCTGCAACATGGAGTAGGGACCTGTGTTGGGAGCTCCCCCTCACCATTGCACTTGCAGACCCAGGTGCACAAGTGCCCTGCATAAGGGTTTCCCCATGCAAACATGCTGGTGCAGAGGGGGAACTCCCACCAGGGTCCCCTGCGCAACCCAGGGACATGTCTGCAAACTGGTTTCCCCCTCATGCAGATACACCCCAAGTTAGGGCTCAGCAACCAGGCATGTCTGTAGATGTCCATGGAGTGTGATCAGTTGTGCCACAACCTATCACAGCACAGCCAATTATGCTCCACTGACAAGATCTGTTTCTAGCCTCACATACCATCTCTGCAGGAAACTTTCCTAACTGAATCTTTCCAACCTGTCCAATGAGGCTTACACTCACCAGAGCAATTCACAGCAGCATCTTCTTTATGCTGGCAGTTACTGTCCTCCCAGTGCTTCGCAAGACAGTGCCACAGAGATGACTCTGTCCCTCGACAGTCCAACTTCTCCAACCAGATGGGGCCAGTCCCTTCCCTGAATGCTGCTCCACCCAGCGCAGACACAGCAGGTCCACAGCCCAGGTGTTTACACACGACTTCTGCATCCGCCATGTCCCAGGAGTCATCACACACCGTTCCCCAGGATCCACGGTGCCAAACCTCCACTCTCCCTGAACAGCCGTCCTTTCCCTGCACAACGTGGAGCTTTTCCTTGCCTGGGAAAGGCGGAAACCTCACGTTACTGGGATAGCTGGGAAGGTCGTTAGAATTAGAGAAGAGATACAGAGAAGCACTGATACCTGTGCAGTTTGTAGAGCCTGGGCATGCAGCAAATGAGTTTTGTGTACTGTTTTCTTTTCCTCCTACAGAAATAAATATTACCATGAGCAAACAAATTACTGTTTTTCATGAAAAATGAAGTAGAATCTATAACCTCTCCACTGCAACACTGTGGGCAAGTTTACATGCAACGGTAACTCGCCTCAGTGACATGCTATACCAACAAAGCGATCATATCCATCTACACATGACCAACAGCTACTTTGCTGCAGCACTGCACTCCCTCACTATAGCATGCCACTACAGAATAGCAGCAGCTAAAAATCACCATTTGCCCAATAGACAACACAGTACGGGCTACACCTGTGCCATGCTTTAGCACTTCTTTTGGAAGTATGAAAGCATGGGCATGACACAGGAGCAACATCACCATATGAGTACAGGTAGACGCGCCCTGTATGAATAAGATAGAAGTTCTAGTTTATGTAATACCAAAGGATTTGTACTTTAGTTATAAACATGATTTCTCAAACTTCTTGCAGCTGTCTGCCGTTGTGTGTGTGATTGTGATTTCTCACACCATGATTTCCATTATATCCGGGTAACCAGGCTCATACGAGCAGTTACAGAACAGACCTGAACAAAAAAAGCAGCATTCTAATGATGACTTTCATAAGTGGGAAACAAGAAACAAAAATAAGCATCCAGGGAAGACCTCTATCATTATTATTTCTCCCCTCAAAAATTTGACTCCTCCTCAGCAGCACTCTAATAATGACTTTCATATGTTGATAAGTGAGAAAGAAAGATAGACAGTCAAAGACAGCTGTCTGCCGTTGTGTGTGTGATTGTGATTTCTCACACCATGATTTCCATTATATCCGGGTAACCAGGCTCATACGAGCAGTTACAGAACAGACCTGAACAAAGCACTCCTGCATCCTCCTTGTGTCGGCAGTTGTGCTGGCCCCAGCTCCTAGAAGGACATGCCCACAGCTCCGACTCATTCCCAGCGCATTTCACATCATCCAGCCAGATCTGCCCGGAGCCTTCCCCATAGTGAGCAGAGACAGATGCCTCAATGGCATGTCCAACCTGGACTTACAAGTAAAAATAAAGGAAAACACCTGCAAAGTTAGAATACAAGAAGATATTGGACAGGAAATAATTCAGTCTCATAAATAGACCGTGCCTCCCTCTACCCCCATCAGAAGTACAAGAATCTGATCCTCCTGCTTCCTGTAAGGAGAAATCGCAGCAATTAATGGGAAAATTAATGACAACTGAATAGTTTTCATGTAAATCTTTCTGCTTTAAAAAGGTTCATACATTGAAATGACTTAAAAACCTGGACTTACAAGTAAAAATAATGGAAAACATCTGCAAAGTTAGAATACAAGTCGATACTGGCAGGAAATAATTCAGGCTCATAAATAGGCCGTGCCTCCCTCTACCTCCATCAGAGGTACAGTTCTTTTCAGAGCACACACAAGACTGCTCAATATGACAGTTGCCTCCCTGTTAGTCCTGGGCCTCTGACTGCTTGGGCAGCAGTGGCCTTTGTCTACTCGGCCCTCTGGCAGGATGGCAGGTAGGAGCTGACCCTGAACCAATGGTAATAATGGCTATGGCAACATTGCAGGAGACAGTGACTGGGGCTGTGACACTGATGGCCACAGTGGAGGCATTTCCTGCCCTTCCTGGTGGGAGAGGGGAAGGGGAAGAAAACATGGAGGGACCTGCAGGAATCAACAATGCTCACTTGTGAGGATAAGTGCCAGAGCAGAACTTCTCTCTGGTACTGGGAAATTGGAAACAATGAGTCTGGAAATCAGTCAAACTGTGCTTCAGAAGATACTGAAAGTCTGCCCATCAGACCTAAACTGCTTCATTGTTATACCTCTGGGACTAGACTAGGATCTGAGTTTTAGGAGCCAAAAAGGCTATCAGAAATTTCTAGGCAGCTTTCAAGAAGCCAAGGGTGACCCAGTAGTAATGTACACTGTTTTTAATGTGGTGCCAAATAATAGAGAGAAACTGGTAGAAATGAAAATACATTCACTGAAACAGACTTATCAATATAGGTAAAGATGCACTCTGAGGAAATAAGAAAGATCAGTAAAATAGGGGCTAAAAACAAGATATGGACAGGCACTTGGATGACCCAAGCCCTTCTAAAAGCAGACCCCACAACCCCTCAGGTCCACAAGGAGTATACAGTCTCCTCACACTGGCAGAAGCAGGTGCTAACTGCAGTGTTACATATTACTATGGAAAGCCAAAATTTTGTCCTAAATGGGGCAAAGAGGGACACCTAGCAGCAGCCCACACTTGGCTAATTTGTTCAATGTGCAGGTAAGTGGGGCACATGGCAAAGCAAAGGGAAGGTTTATGGCAATATAATCCCTGTGGAGAGAAAGATACCTCTTTAAGATACTTTTGAACCACAAAATAAAAAGGAAAGGAAAAAACAATCAGGAACATCAAGTAAAGATCCCTTGGGAGATCTCCTACAGGAAATGGCCCACAGAGTAGGGTTAACGTAAGAGGAGGAGGAGGAAGGAAAGAAAGAAAATGGAAAGAAAACAATCTGTTCTCCCAGTCTGTCTTGCTGACTCCCTGACCCACCATGATCCTGGTTCCAAGCCAGACCCCTGTCCTCTGACAGCCAGCTCCCAGCCTGTAGTAATCACCAAAATCCCAATCCCATAAGCTAGAAGTGCTGCTCCAGGCCTCCTGGCTAGTCACTCTGGCTAGATCCTTGCTTACTGATCCTGACCCCGGTCTCATTTTTCAAAACTGCCAACATCTGGGCACATAAGAGCTCTCAGCCTCCTGACCCCCCTGCTCCTGACCCATGACAACTGCGGTCCTTTGCTCCCTGACCTGTCTGTTC